GGTGATGCTATTTGAAGAAATGGCTGCTGAGAGTTAGTCAGAGATGCTAAAGAGCAGCCCCATCAGACCAGGGTTTGGAAGATTCTCCTCTCCAAAAGGGCTGTAACAGACTCAGTGATTCATCAGGGAATGTGGGTGAATCTGTGTTTTGCAGATCAATGACCTGCAGAAAGGCTCAAGTCAGGTTTTCAGCCATTCCCTCTGTGAAAGAGACCTGGAGATTGGGAGGCTGCAGAGAGAAAGTGAGAAGTTGAAGAAGGACCATGCTTTGGCAGCAGGTACCATGTCCCTGGAGCTCTGGGTGGGGGTTTGAAGCAGTTTGGGACTGGCTCTGTATAAGGAACAAGCATTGGCCAAGCTGTCCAGGCAATAAATTATTTGTAATGGCTTGTAGAAATGATAGAATCCCAGAATGGTTTGAGTTGGAAGGGACCTTAAAAGCTCATCTTGTTCTACTTCCCTTCCATGGGCAAGGACACCTTCCACTAGCCCAAGTTGCTCCAAGCCCCATCCAGCCTGGCCTTGAAGACTTCCAGGGATGGAGCAGCCACAGGTTCTCTGGTCAACCTGTGCCAGTGCCTCAGCACCTCCCAGGGAGGAATTTCTTCCCAATATCTCATCTAAATGTTGCACTTGGGTGGCCTCTCACTGGAATTGGTTTTCCCAGGTCTGGTGAGCAGCTTGCAGAGAGAGGTCCTGCAAAAGGAGCAGAAAATCCAGCAACTCCAGCAACAGATTGAAGAACTTAAGAAGGAAAACCAAGAGAAGGACAACCAGCTGGCAGTTGTTTCTGCCAAGGTTGGCAGTGCTAAGAAGGGGCTCAGTAATATCGTCACACATAGGGGTTGAGGTGGCAAAGCAGGTAGAGAAGAGTTGTGTTTCCCTCTGGTGAAGATTATAGCACTGTATGTGGGTTTTGAGGGTGGTCCTGGCTGCACACAAACAGGAACAACAGAGCTGCACTGCTGGGGTGTAGTGGGGATGGTGCTGTGCTCATGTCAGGGTGTTCTGTGATGCCCATGGTTCAGTGTCCCCTTCTCCAGCTCGATCCCTATCCTTGCTCTGCATCAGGTACTGTGTGCCCTGGATTCCTGTCAGCACAGTAGCTGTTTGTACACAAAAGCTCTCATGCCAAGATCCTCCCAAGCAGCCATGGAAACCCTGTCACAGCACTCCCTGCAGCCTGGCCTGGTTTTTCCTTAAAGAAAGTGGTGTGTGCAGCAGGTTGTTGCTCTGTGTGTGCAGTTCCCTCTCAACTGGTAGAGCTGCATTGACAGTGTGCTAAGGGCAGAGGCTGCACAGCCACTCTGCCAGGAGATTGCAGGGATTAGGTGGGAATCACAGAATTGGTGAGGTTGGAAATGACCTCTAAGATCATAACTCCAACCATTCCCCCAGCACTGCCAAGTCCATCACTAAACCACATCCCCAACTGCCACAGCTACAGAGCTTTTCAATCCCTCCAGGGATGGTAACTCCACCACTGCCCTGGGCAGCCTGTGCCAGTGTTCCATTCACAGCAGAAGTGATGGTATCACTGCCCTGGTGGTTATTTCCCTTGGTTTCCATTCCTTCTAGTGCTCAAGGATTAAAGAGGAAACCAAGCATGAACTTGAAGAGCGAGAAATAATCGCCTGCCGAAACGTGAGTCTCGAGTCATTTGGGGTGATGGAGCTCAGGGGGAAGCAGTGGCTG